TTAAAATATCTATGATGTTAACACCTTCAGCAAATTTGACATATGAAGTTTTGAAGCTTGCTGTCAATACAACAAAACAGCATACATATCAAATTGCATATATATCAACATATGTGCAACTTCATCTATTAAAAAAATCCACATTATTAACCGCTACACCTAGTATTTCTAACCTAATATCCCTTAACTTCCTGCCACATGGCCTATGCCACAGCCATGCTAAACTTCCCACCATTCAGAACATGTAATGTTCTTTCTTAGCTTTGCATGTCTATTGTGATGTCTCATCCTGGAATGCTCTTCTCCTCTTTCGTGCTTATCAAATTTATATAATTGCTTACATGTCTCTTCCCTTTCAGAAGTCTCTTCTAATTTACTGCTCCTAAATGTCTGCCTTTATGGGACCAAAGGGTTTGCTGGGTTATTCTGATTCTATCCAGACATGCTTCCTTCTGTGAGCTCTTGAGAACAGAAAGTATGTCGAAACCACTATTCTAACCCCAAATGTAGCATGGGGTTCGCTATTGAAAGAATAGACACACTGGCAACCAAAGCCCAAAAGCACTTCCTGAAAGCTTCATTTTGTTGCCTCATTCCGTAAGGCTGTGAGCCTATCGCTGCTCCTAGCCAATTTCAGGACTTGCCAGATACCAGCAAATTCTGACTTCTCTCTGTTCCCTGGTGATACTGTAGCTAAGAAAAAGGAAGCCTGCTGTTTAATTGGTTCGCAGCTATATTATTAACGCTGTACCTCCCTTCCTTACCCCACCAACTCCCATACAAGAAATGAGTATTAACTGTGGTCTGGTTGAACAGAAGAGAAAGCTGTGTAAGGAATGTTGCATTTTAGAAGAGTTCCCCAGGCAGCCAGGGTCATGACTGTACAGTTCTTGTCTGCAATCCTCAGAGAAAGTATGACAGCCTCCTTATTCTAATGATCTCTAGTACTGTGTCTTGAACTAGATCCAGAAGTCTGGAGTCAAAGATTCTAATGACACGCATGTGAATCATGTTCTGATGAACACCGGAGATGGTCGGAGTAGGCTAATCACATCATTACATTCTGATCTCTACCTGGATTTGGGCAGTTCCCCGTCATCTTTCCTCCACCGCACTGTAGGCACAGGGTCACCTCGGGCCTCGCATTTAAACTCCGCGCTGTCATCCACAGTGATTGCCAAGTTACTGGGTCTCTTCACAAATGATGGTCTCTCTAAAATTAGAAAAAGCCTTCTCAAAAAAAGAAATAAATATAAACTAAGAACTATTTTATATGTTTAGTCAGAACAGACTTATAATTTAAAATCTTATTTCAAAATTTATTTCATATAGTTTCCTACTCCTCGAAGCTCCTTCCCAGGTTGTGTTTCCCCTAGTTTTGCCCCCTGGTCTTGCCTATGATGCCGATGATGTCTTGGCCAGCATGCTTTGCTGATTCCTTCTCTCCTCTCCCCACCCCCACAAGGTTGGTTAAGCTTCTTAAGAAAGGTCATCTCTTTCTCCCTTGTATAAAGATACTAAATAATACTGAGGAAGAAGCTTCACAGGGGGCCAATGAGATAGGATCCCACTTACCCAACACGGTCAGCTCCGCCACTTCACTCTCGCGTTCCCCAACCATGTTGGTGCCAACACACACATACTTTCCAGCATCACTCTTGCGGGTGTAAGTAATCATGAGTTTTCCTCCTCGTATCTTTAAAAAAAGTGTCACATGCATACAGTTAAAATCACTTTAGCTATGTTTACGTGACAGAGGTTTTCCTAAGTGAAGTCTACTGCCTAAGCACACAAGCAAAGCTTAATTATATAAAAAAGCCAGTGTGTAGTATTTGTTTAGTTATAATAGTAACTTTAAATAGAACTTATTCCAAAGGTACATTATAAAAGAGGCAAAACATTTCTACTTGCCTACATTTCTTGTAAAGTTATTATAGTCAGTATAAGTAGAAATTTGTGTTTATGAACAGGCCAAATTCTTTTAATATTATGTAGTTAAATGAAAACAAAGAAGTATGAATAATTTATTTAGGAAAAATGGAAATTCCTAGTATCTTCTGACTATAATTAATATGGAAATGCATATTAGCTATATGTGATTTTAAGAAAGCATATTCTAGTATTATAAGATGTAGAAATAAAAATGTCGCTAATTATTCAATTTGCCAAAATTGCTTTGAAGGAATATTTCTTAATTGCTAAAACATTACAGAACCTGACATCCTAAAAAAAAAAACAAAGAAATTGCTGCTGCCCAAGCAGTTTCTTGGGGACTCAGGAGGTGAAGGCTGAAGAGATACCAATAAATCATCTGGAAAGTCATTCTGGTACATTCTTGAACATTTAATTATTTGAAGAAGAATTCATTACAAATGTAAACAGATTTCCATTACAATAAGTAGGCTGAAGCTAACCATGAATGAAGATTGGGGTGAGGAAACTGAACTATTTTTACTTAATATCTTTTGGTGGGGAGCTGCATTTCAATTACCCATGAATATCTATAATGCTCTGAACCTGAGAAAGGTTTTGTCAGAGATAATTTCCCAATGTTTACTCATAGAGGTTTTGACCTTAGAGTTATTGTGTGTTGTGTATCAATTAAACAAAGAAGGGAAGAAATAAAGAAAGAAAAAAGAAAGTGCTGGACGTGGTAGGAAACCATTCAGACAGAATTATTTCTTATCATGCACTAGGAGCATACTTAACTATTTTGGAATACCTAAAATGCCTTATTTCAACCCAAATTAGAAATTATGTATTGGACAAACCAAATATTAACAAGTTGTTTTAATTTCTGTGGCTTTAGAACTTGAAATTGTTTTCAGTCATGTTTCTTAGAAAATAATCACAACTTTCTAAGTACCATTATAAAAACCACCAAGGGACCATTCTCTGCATTTTTTTTTTCATGACTCTGTTCTGCATTCAGAGAGTAATGGCTGCATATAGTAGTCTATCAAAACATTTTTGTTTAATGCCACCTGCTTTTTATAGACAAAATCTAGTCTGGTATGGAATGAAGCATTTCTATAAAGGTTTGTAGCAACTAATGGGAGGTGACCTCATATTTTATTGACAACTGTATCTTTTCTCACATGGGCATCATCTCCTTAAAAGGTTTCAAGTGAGATTCTTAAAAGTATAACCAGCGGAGAAATCAAGATGGCGGCATAGGTAAACACCGGAGATTGCTGCCTTGCACAATCACTTCAAAAATACAACTAAAAGACAGAACGGACATCATCCAGAACCACAGGAAGGCTGGCTGAGTGGAAATTCTACAACTAGAAGGAAAGAGAAAAGCATACCAAGACTCAGAGGTGGTGTGGTGCAGAAGTAAAATACAAAGGTGCGAGGTGCAAGCGGAGAGGGCTGGGGGCTGAGGACATGATTGTCTTTTATAATCGGGAGGCATTCTCAAACTCTGAGTTTCAGTTCCGGGCGAGTCTCTGGGGACCCAGACTCATACAGGAGAAATGGGACTGTCTGGCATCAGTCAGAACTCGAGGGTAGCTTTCTCTCAGAGGCCCTCGCAGGGATTGCTGGGGCCTCTGAGGGCAGGACTGAGAGCAGCCATACTGTTCGCTCCACCCGCCCTGTTGATCCTCTGGGACCTGCCCAGCCCAAGCCCTGCAGGGAGGCTTTTGCATATGAAAGGTCCGACCCTTTGTAATCTGAAAATTACTTAACAAACTGCAGCTGGCCCAAGGCCCCAGAGCACCTGCATGCTTTATAGCTGGATTCTGCTGGGTAGCCTCAAGCAGAGGCTAGATTAGCACCTCTTTATATCCAAGAGCCAGTGTACCCAGTGGTCAGGCTGGGACCATCCAATTACAACTCCTCAGATCCATAAGGGACACACTCAGGGGGCAGACTCAGTGAGCGCCAAAGCTCCACTGAAGTAAGTCTTGCCCCATAAGGGTGTCTTCAGCACAGAAGTTCTCCCACCGTAGACACAGCTGATTCTCACAGACAATTGGCCTGGAGGTCAAATCCTCCCAGTGTTATCTACAACAATCAAGGCTTAACTACAACAAGACTGTGCACAAAGCCCACAAAGGGGTGCACCAAGAGTTTCTACCTCAGGTAATTGGGGAGGCTGAGCCACTGGGCCCTATAGGACACTTAGCACAGACAGCCACTCTATCGACCCAGCAAAGCATAAAAAATGCCAAGACAAAGAAACAGGACACAAATGAGAAATGGAGGAAAGCAAACTACTGGATATAGAATTCAAAACCACACTTTTAAGGTTTTTCAAGAATTTTCTAGAAACAGTCAATAAATTTAATGAGACCCTAAAAAAATCTAGTGAGACCCTCGATGTTGTGATAAAGGACCAACTAGAAATTAAGCATACACTGACTAAAATAAAGAATATTATACAAACTCCCAACAGCAGACCAGAGGATCGCAAGAATCAAGTCAAAGATTTGAAATACGAAGAAGCAAAAAACACCCAACCAGAAAAGCAAAATGAAAAAAGAATCCAAAAATATGAAGATAGTGTAAGGAGCCTTTGGGACAGCTTCAAGCATTGCAACATCCGAATTATAGGGGTGCCAGAAGAAGAGAGAGAGCAAGATATTAAAAACCTATTTGAAGAAATAATGACAGAAAACTTCCCCTACCTGGTGAAAGAAATAGACTTACAAGTTTAGAAAACACATAGAACCCCAAACAAAAGGAAACCAAAGAGGACCACACCAAGACCCATCATAATTAAAATGCCAAGAGCAAAAGACAAAGAGAGAATCTTAAAAGCAGCAAGAGAAAAAAAGTCAGTTACCTACAAGGGAGTACCCATACGACTGTCAGCAGACTTCGCAACAGAAACTTTGCAGGCCAGAAGGGAGTGGCAAGAAATATTCAAGGTGATAAATGCCAAGAACCTAAAACCAAGATTACTTTATCCAGCAAAGCTATCATTCAGAATTGAAAGTCAGAGAAAGAGCTTCACAGATAAGGAAATGCTAAAAGGGTTCATCATCACTAAATCGGTATTATATGAAATGCTGAAAGGTATCTTTTAAGAAGAGGAAGAAGAAGAAAATGTAAAGATACAAATTATGAACAACAAATACACATCCATCAACAAGTGAATCTCAAAATCAAGTAAATAAATAATCTGATGATCAGAATAAACTGGTGAATATAATAGAATCAGGGACATAGGAAGGGAGTGGACTGACTATTCTCGGGGCGGGATAA